CCCCAAAACCCCAAAACCCCAAAACCCCGCTATAAAAAATATAAAAAATAATAATAAAGATAAGAATTCTGATAATATTATTTACAAAAGTACAAATTTATTATTGTTTTGGATATTAATAAGTTTATTTTGACTTTATTATTAAAATATTATGATTAGAGTAACTACTCAAAAAGATGATTCTCTCATCTACAAACCAGGACAAGACTCCCCGAGAAATTCTAAGCTAACAAAGGGATTTATCGGCATTATAGCTGCTATCTCCGTGATTGCTGTTGCTTCAATCAATTATTCAACAGATTCTCAGCAAAGTGCATTAGGCTTTGAGGATAAAATTGTTACTTTATCCAGAGCTGCTTCTCAAGATTAATCCCTTGATACCATTGTTAACAAGCTCTTGAGACTTGATAATAAAGATTGCGTACAAGCTATATATGATACTTTCTTTGACCCCTAGAATCTTTTGGCAGGAAATCTGTGGAACGATGCATAAATAAGAATGTAAAAAGTGCTCTAAGTCTCACCAAACGCTACTCAACTTGCGCAGTTGAAGAAAGATAGAACATAACTCGGCCAAGAAATGGAGAAATATTTAAAATCAAAGGATGTTTCTAATCTAGAGGAAGCAATAAAAGTTGCAATAGGAATCATGTCAATCACTTTCCATGAGTCTAATCATTAAGGCTATGCTGCACACTACTCTTAATTTGGAACAATCTTAGTGGTTCTTAAAAGGGAATTAGCCTATAATAATGACAAAGATAGAGATAATCTAATCAAAGATTTACAAAGTGACATTGAAACCTACCAGGAAAATGCCTTAAAACTATACGAAACATTATACAACGAAACCGCCAAAAGATATAAGCTTCAAGTTGATAAAGAAGTAACAACAAAGTCAAATCTATACACCTTTGCCAATGGTAATGTGAAGAGTTACATTGGTAGTGAATCAGAAGATTTCATCACTGAGTCAAGAGCTAATGTTCAATACGATTTACTTGTGAGAGAAGCTAACTTAGTAATCATAACAGAACTCGACGCTCTGATTCTTCCATCGACTAAATGGCAATTCTTCCTCAACTAGAATTACTCCATTCCTTAGGATCCTGTGCCTCTAAAGAAGGCTATACTGTCTTATTCTGCAAATTTTGGCAAGGGTATCTCTCACGAGGAACTAGATCCTTTCAACGATGAACAACTCTTTAGCTATGGCGGAGATATTTCCGTAATTGAGATTCGAGCTGGTTCGATAGTTAACGGTCTTTAATTTACTTATGGAACTGTGACTGCTCAACCTCATGGAGGCTATGGATAACGTTTGAATTATATTAATTTAGCTTCCGGTGAAAAAATTGTAAAGGTGTTCATAAGAGCAGGTGATCTCCTTGATGGGATTGGCTTCGTCACAAACACAGGTAAGCGCTATTGGTATGGTGGTGATGGGGGCACTTACTATGAAGCTGTTGCTCCAGAAGGCGGCTATCTAGCTGCTATAAGGGGGCTCCAAGGAAGTGCCTCGATAGGGCAAATTAGCTTTGTTTGGGTTACTTACAAATGATACTAACTTTGATCAGATTTTATTTCATGAATTTATTCTTCGTATCGTTTCATAAATTCCATTCTATTAACTATCAAAAAAATTATTAAATCCTTATCTGCTTGAAAAATACATGAGATTAATTAATTTTTTATATTTTTTTTAATTTTTATATTCTTTCTCATATTTGTCCTAGGGGTTTTGGGGTTTTGGGGTTTTGGGG